TGAAAGATTATTTACTAAATAGTATGTTAATTATTAATTATTAATATTAAAAAAATTAGTTCATGCTTTGGTAGATGAAAAGGTAAGACCATTTCTTTTTTTTTTTCTTTTTTTTTGTGCAACATGTTAATTAGTAATAATTAAAACTTAAAAAGTGGAGAGTATAGAGGTTAGAAGATAGAAAATTAAGGCATTTAAGATACTTAAATATAGAAAAATACATTGGAATTGGAATGGATAAAAAGATCAGGATTGGGAGATGAAAAGACAATACCATTTAAATATTAAAAAAAAAAAGAAAATAAGCATTAAATATTAAATAGTCTTTCTCCATGTCTTTCTTCCTATTCATATATATATAAACACTCACTTTTCTTTATACCAATATATTATATTTTCCTCCTTATATCCTTAATTTCTATTTGCTAACATGAAGAGTTCTAAATATTATTTATCTTTTTGTTTCGTATTTCATATTGTAACTAAATATAATATTATGTTTTTATTTTATATTTTTTTCCCTCTTTATCCAAAATATGTATATTATTGTATGAATTATTTTTTGCATTAGTTTTATTATTCCATTTTATGAAATTTTTTTTTATAAAATATATAATTTTGTTAAAAGAATTTTATAATTTTATCTGTTTGGAATTTATGCATGCTTTTCTTTGTAAATTATTAAAGGTTTGATTTTTTTTTTTTTTTGTGTGTTAAAAATAGAACTTTACTTATAAGATTGGAGTCAACTAAAGTGACAAAAGTATTGATTCGTACACTAAGCCGAACAAGAAAGGTATGAATGATAAAAATCAAGTCATATAAAAAAATATATATATATATTTTTTGCTAGAAGGTATTATGTTTCTTATTTTATTTATATTATACTATTATTAACTTTTTAGTCCTTATAAATATAAATTCTACTTTACATTCCTTTTAAATTATATATATATATCCAATATTATTACCACATATATTTGAGAATATGCATTCAATTGTGCTAAAATCTTATTCAAATCACTTTTTTCCATAACTCTGATTTGAACACTTATATTAACATATCAAAATAGCTTATAATACAAGTGAAGGAATAGAATAGGAACCAAAAAAAAAAGACAGAAACTTAGAAATGATAGAAGTAATAAGAAAATACTATAAAATAAAATTTTACAAGTTAAGCAATTATAGAAAAGAGAGTTGGTAAAGACTTATGTAGAAATGAAAAAAAAAATTGTTAAATATTTTCTCTTATTTTATAATACTTCATGTCTATCTTGCATAGTAAAAATAATTAACTATAGTTT